TTTGAGATTTTAGGAAAATCCACAACATGAGCCAAGACAGAATGTCTTTATGGAAAACCCACTGGAAGCAACTTGTGTGGACCCACAAGTTGGGTGGGGAAGGGTCTCAGGGAGTCACCAGGACAGGGCAAAGACTTTTAGCTAGGTTGATGGAGATGCCAATATGGTACCCACCTGCATTTGCATGCTGGGTAGAGGGGAGGGCTCAACGAAGGAGCAGCGGCCTCTGCCAGCACCTCGGTCTGTGAGAAAGCTGCCCATCAAGCCCTCTTTCTGAAGCTAGGCAATCCCGTTCTGCCCTGTATGTCCCTGGCACTTTTTGAGCTGCTGCCCCAGCAGTGGAGCTCAGAGCGAGTGAGTCTGTCAGTGAGTAGGTCCATGCACTGGCCTGTTAAGAGGAGCCTAAGACTCTGGCCACCCTCCATCTCACATAGTCCACAATCTCCACTAGTTTTCACAGCCAGAAGTTGTGGGGGCTTCACTTCTCAGCACTGGAACCCAGGGTTGGGGAGCCTGGTGGGGGCTGGGACCCCGCACTCCTCAGAGGGGACCTCTACAGCTGAGATATACCTCCCGATTTTAAACCATCACATGTGAGTGTGGTACCAGCCTGTTTCGCATCTCTGCCCCTCCTAGCAGTTTAAATGTGGCTTCTTCTACACAGAAGTATAGAAGTCTTTAGTTATAGGAATTCTGTTGAACTAGATTTCAGGTGATTCTTAATGATGATTGTCCTATAGTTGTAATTTTGATGTGGTCATGAAAGGAGGAAAGCACAATGATTACCTTCTCCACCGTCTTGATCAGCAAATATAACATTCTTTTGAAGCCCCAATAGCAGACAGATCCATTGGAGAAGTAGCAGCTTTTCCAGTATAGACTACTTTTAGAGTTGTTGGTAAGATGCACACTTATCTGAATTCTTTTTGTTTCCCTTTTTCTGTCCCACAGTCCATGAAGGCTCAGGAGAAACCAGTCAAAAGGAGACATCCACCTGTGATATTTGCCAGTTTGGTGCAGAATGTGATGAAGATGCTGAGGATGTCTGGTAACATGCTTTTATTTATTCTTCTAAACAAAAGAATGACAGTAATTCATTTCTTTTTACTTTATTAACCATTATCTAAAGAAGACTTTTTCAGCATTTATTTTTCTTATCTAGTTTCTAAGGGAGTGGGGGTAGGAATGAGATCTATAAAACAGCAAGGAATTTCTGAAGCTGAATTAGGAGTTGGGCCAGCCAAGCAGCTGCCCAGGGCTTTATTTGGTAAGACATAAGAACATATCATTGAGACACCCAAACACTGTCACTGTTAAGAGATGGAGAGAATAATCATATTCACCAGAACATTTCTCAAGAAGCATGGTCGAGAAACAGTGGACAGTTGTTAATATGCCTTCTAAGATGGTGAATCTGTATTGGCAGAGATTTTATATAAGGGTATGCCTATGCATGTCTGTAGCTGTATTGGGAAGATGGTAGAGCAAAGAATGATCTCTGGGCCACTATCTAAGATCAACTTCTCTCTTCACCCAAGCAATACTCAGCTTCTCCTGAAAAGTTATTCTGAGCAAATAATAAATACTATTCATTATTCTGAATGGGTCCCAGAATGTTAGCCTTCTAGGGCATTGACATGCATTGATTCTTTCCTGATCATACTCAAAATGAGTGACTCAGAATTCAGAGGACATCTTTGTTGCATGATAGTGGAAAGAGGCAGTCTTAAATATTCTCATCACTAAAAGGAATGGTTAATACGAGACTGTGAGGAGGTGTTAGCTAATAGGATACTGGTAATCATATGTAATATATGTTTATCAAATCAACACATTGTACATCTTAAACTTAATACAGTGTTATGTGTCAATTATATCTCAATAACATTTTGATCAAATTTTTGTGGGTGGAGAGGGCAATTCATCTAAGGTATTAGAAGGAAAAAAATAAGGCAAGATAATTTTGGCATGAGTGAAACAGTCTGCACTTAAAATATTTTTTTGGTGCAGATTAAGTTGAGGATTCCAAATGAGCAAACTGGGATTCTTAGGGTACATTAACTAGGCATTTACAGGTAAANATTTTCTAAAAATTTATAATCAACATTTTTTTTCTTATAAATACTTAACATCTTGGGGAAAAAAAGGAGACATATATAATAAGTCAAGGCTGCCCATCTAAGTTTCTTAAATTATATATAAAAGCCTCTGAATGAAAAAAAATCTATAATTTAGAAGTGAGAAAATGTTAAATATTTTTTATAAAGTAGACACTGAATTTTTCCTCTAGGCAGGTAACTGTCTAAATCCCTTTTTATTAAACAACTCTTTTATGTGTTTTTTTTTATTAGCCAAACAATTTTGATAAATCCAGTAAAACCTCTTGTTTGTTGTATTTTGTTTGTAAAAAGGAGAAGTGTTCACTGTATACCAGCAGGTGGCATATTATTGTTAGATTTGCCCTTAAATGTAGGGAAGAAAGGAGTTGAATATGACATTCCTTTTTAAAAATAATTATTTAATTTTCAATTACAGTAGATATACAATATTATATTAGTTTCAGTTGTACAACATAGTGGTTAGACATTTATATAACTTACAAAGTGATCACCCCAATAAGTCTAATACCCACCTGACAACATAGATAGTTGTCATGTTATTGACTATATTCCCTATGCCATACTTTACATCCTCGTGACCATTGTGTAACTACCAATTTGTACTTCTTAATCCCTTCCTTTTTTTCACCTACCCCCAACAAGCCCCCTCCCATCTAGCAACCATCAAACGGTTCTCTGTTTTTTGAGTTTGTTTCTGTTTTGTTTGTTCTTTCATTGTGTTCTTTAGATTCCACATATAAGAGAAATCATATGGTATTTATATTTCTCTGTCTAACTTACTCCACTCAGCTCAATATCCCTTGTGCCAATCTACTTGGTTCCACATGGCAAGATTTCATTCTTTTTATGGCTGAGTAATATTCCATTGTATATATGTACCACCTCATTTTTATCCATTCATCTATTGATAGACACCCAGGCTACCTCTATATCTTGACTATTGTAAATAATGCTGCAAAGAACATATGGATGCACATGTCCCTTCAAAGTAGTGTTTTGTGTTTCTTAAAATAAATACTCAGAAATGAGATTACTAGGTTCTTCTATGTCTCTGTTATAGCCTTTGTTTTAAAATCTATTTTGTCTTGTATAAGTATTGCCACATCAGCATTTTTGCTTGTTTGTTTATTTCCATTTTTATGAAATATCTGTTTTCTCCATTTAATTTCAGTCAATGTGTGTTTTGCAATCTGAAGTGAGTCCCTTGTGGGCAGCATATGTAAGGTTTTTGTTTTCTTATCCATTTGCCACCCTATATCTT